CCTCGCTGGCACTCGTTCCTTTCTCCAATCGATGTGGGTTCTTACATTTTAATTGCAGGACAGGGGGTTAATGTTAAACACTTTCCTTTAGGTTTAGTCGGAAGGACTAGGGGTCAATCTTAAACTAAGGTTAGGGAGATTACAAAATACTTCTCCAAAATCTATATATTTCCAAACAAAAAAAAAAAAAAAAAAAAAAAAAAAAAATTGTATATTGCAGAACTTTACTGTATAACCAGAACCATGCTAGCCAAAACCTCATCTTGTTCTTATCTAACACATACAAAATTTTGTGAAGATAAGAGTTTTAATATCTAAAAACATAGCTCTTCGTGATATTTTATAACTAGAATCTTTCTACCTTGTCGATTTAGATCGTAAAAAACACACCAGGCTCTCATTCATTGTACTTTTACCAAATTGGTTATTAACGTCAGAAACTACACTATTGTATGCATGCACAATTGATTGAGTTCCAGATAATTAGCATAACTTTAATCACCTCTCACAAGTTATTTCGTATCACTTTTATACCTTCTCACGACCTATTTCCTAAATTTTTGGTTTATTGTACTTCTTTCTCAACTAATATATCAGTATTGATATAACCTACTTTAAGGTTTACAGGAAAGACTCAAACCCACATAAAAACAAACTCCCAGCAAAACTCTAATCTAAAGGTTTGAGTTTCATGAAACGATCTTCCTTGTGTATTTGTCTATGCCCATCAATTGAGATACAAGGTTAAATGAATTTACATGGTCCCATCTCAAAGAACATTCTGAACAAGACACTAAAACATAAATGCAGGGCGACTAAGTAGGAGGACAGAGTTTAACGTAGAAGAGGCATCAGAATAAGACACAAGTAATGCACTTCTAATAACTACACATAATCTATGAGAAAAACAAGCACATAGAAACGGTTCAAGGAAGGTCAATTCAAAGCAGTGGACGTTGCAATCAAAACCCAAACAGAAATATCACCTGACAAAGCTAACATGGACGCCAAGGCTGCGATGAACGGCGGAGCAATCAATACAAAGGAAGATCCCATAGGTAACAGAAGCCCAAGTCGGATTCTTAGCATTGCAATCAAAACACATCTGAAAAAAGGAAAAAAAACACACACACACACACGAAATTTCGTTTCAACGCAGAATCAGAGATCTCGATATGAAACATACAGATCGGAAGGACGAAATGCAATACATAAACGAAAGAGAAAGGAATTCGAATAAGCAATTGAAATAAGCCGTGAATAAAGAAATACCTTGTTTTCCGACTTGGCTTTGAGTTTTCTGAATACAACATTCTTGTCGGAGAAGCCATCGGACGCCATTGAAGAGGAACACGCAGAGCAAGATTCCCAAGGGGGTGTGCTTGAACGAACACCTCCTTCGGGAAATTGAAGAAGATGAGGAAGAAGAAGAAGAAGAAGAAGACGATCGGACTGAAAGTCTGAAACTGCAGAAATCGCTTTCTCTGTTTTTCTTTTTTCTAATTCTGAAGGAAACTCTGAACGGAATTACCAAAATAGCCTTTGTATATTTCTTAAATGAGAGTGCACCTTGAGGGGCTAAAAGAAGAGTCCAAGTTTGCACGATATAAGGGTATTTTCGTCATTTCAAATTTAAATTTTATAATTTTAAAAAGTTTTGAGATTAAATAAATACAAACCTAAAAGTTGAAGTATCTAAATTATATAAAATTAATTAATACTTTATTATTATTATTATACGAAAGTCTCGTAATTAGTACTTTATTATTTAATTATTTTTTAATTACAATTTATATATTATTCAATATATGAAAAATGGAAGATTATTAGTATAATATTGAATAGTATATAGTTGACAGATTTTGTATATGGATAAAACGCTATTGATATAACTTACTCTATAATAATTACATTTGATTTTATTCGAATTATTCATATGAAAAAATGTGAATCGGAATCTCATGTATACCGTAAACAGTTTTTTAATTAGAGGATCAATGGTACTAAAAAAGTATAAGATATAATTACAAAGGTAAAACAAACTTTAAATTTAACTATAATTACGAACACCTTATAAACAATCAACTTGGATTTAGTGATTCTATTCATATTTCACTATCTACTAGCGGTGGATCTGAGGCGTCACAAATGGTATCAGAGCTAGACACCGGACAATGTGTCAACCTTCTCGTTGTTCCCTGAAGGGGGGTAGACACGAGGTGGTGTGCCAATCGATTGGAGAAAGGAATGAGTGCCAGTGAGGACGCTAGGCCCTGAAGGGGGTGGATTGTGATGTCCCACATTGAGTGGGGAGGAGAACAAACCACCCTTTATAAGGACGTGGAAACCTTCCCTTAGCAGACGCGTTTTAAAGCCTTGAGGGGAAGCCCAAAAGGGAAACCCCAGAGAGGACTTAAAAATTGGTAAATTTGAATAAGATTTAAATAGGTAAAATAGAAAAAATAGAAAAAATTTACCCTATGATGAGATTTCACATAATTAGAGAGAAAAACGAAGCATTTCTTGTAAGGGTGTGAAACATCTCCCTACTAAACACGTTTTAAAATCGTGAGGTTGATAGCGATTGTAAAATGTCAAAACAGACAATATCTACTAGTAGTGGGATTGAGCTATTACCAATGGTATCAGAGCTAGACACTAGATAGTGTGTTAGTGAGGATGTTGTATGAGTCAATGAGAACCCTGGGCTCCCAAGAGAGGTAGATTGTGAGATCCCACATCGATTCGAGATGAGAACAGATAATTTCTTAAGGGGTGTGGGAATAAACCGGACATTTGGATTGAGCCAAAGACATACACAAACCTCTAGCGCTACAGAACTATGATCAAGCAATTAGTGATAACTGTTGATCTCCGGTAACCTTTACTGACTACCACTATCAATGATCAATGACAACACCCTCTAGCGCTACAGAACTATGATCAAGCAATTAGTGATAACTGTTGATCTCCGGTAACCTTTACTGACTACCACTATCAATGATCAATGACAACACGTAACAATTAGCGATAACTATTAGTAGTCATCTTTGACTCAGATTCATTCAAGTCAAAGTCGTAACTAAAACGTTTTTACATCAAATTCATCTTTAACTTAATGTATATAAAAAATAAAAAATAAATAAAATAAGTGATTTTGTAGGGTTTAGGGTTTGATCTTGGGCTTCTGAATCAATTTGGGCTTGGGGGCTTTTGTCTAATTTTAGTTTCTATATATTTTTTTTAATAAATCTTAAATCAAATTATTTTTTATAGTTTAATTTTTTTATATTCAAACTAGTAAATATTAATAATAATTTCAATTCATTTAAAATTATATATATAATTTTAAAGATGTTTAATGATGCATTTATTTATATTTCAATTTTATCCCTATAAATTGTGAGGCTGAGATTTATCTAAAATTAATAAAAAGTGGTCCACGTTATTATATAATTTAATTTTAATATTATTAATTAATTTTATTTGATAATTAAAAAAATGACATTATAACAAAAAAAAATTAATTCAAATTTGTGACCACTAGCAATATTATCTAGTAATTAATTTGAAGCTTTAATCAAATTTAATTTTATTAAATATAATGACTTTATAGATATTTTTATATTGTTATTTATTATTTTTATTATCATTTATTTTTTGGTTAAAATTTCAATCATTTATACAATGAAAATTTTCCTGAATAAAGTAAAACACAGACAAAATCAGAGAAGAACAAAAAAAAAAGACGTGGAAAAGTGGGAAATATTCATAAAATAAAAATTAATTTATTAAATTAAATTATTATTATTATTATTATTTAAAAGAAAAAAAAAAGAGTCCTTTTCAAGTCACGTTTTCACAAAAAAACGTGCGGGAATTATGTAATTAACCAACTCGAAATCTCAGCCGTTGGTTTCTCTATCAAACCTCTGGTCCCCACTCTGCCTTAAATCAACGGCTACCGTTCACTCTCCCCACTAAACTTGGATTTTTTGTTTTTTTTTTAATGTTTTGTTTGATTTTAGAGCATCAGAAGCCGTGTGGTTATTATAATGGGGTCCACGTGGCAGCCCACGTTGGAGACGATTTTTTGGCTGCCGAGTTCTGCTTTTTTTTTTTTTTTTTTTTTTTTTCTTAATATATATTTTTTATTTATAGTTTTTAATGTTTAATTTATCATTATTTCAAAATTTAAATAATATAATCTTTTTTTAAAAAATTTAGTCAAGCCGTCCAAATATTTAACTTTAGTTAATATATTTTTAATAAAAAAAATAAATCCGCCATGAATATTATTTTGAAATTATGAGACGGGACTCATTATTCCACTGGTCGTAAATAAAATTGGACTCATTATTTTATTACTTTATTTTGTTTCAATAACGAGATTAAGTTTATATGAAGAATTTGTTACCTTTTGACAAAAGTAGTCGTTCTTATCGTCTTTTTTTTAGGATAAAATATTCAAACTTGTTATTATTGCTCGATTTTTATAATTATAATGGTGTAATATTTAAATTCAAAATTTAATTAAAAAATAATAAATAAAAAAAATAGGAATTATTTGTCCTTTTTAGAAAAAGGAAATTAAAGATCAAAATTATATTCTAAGTCAAAATATTTGTAATATTTGCTTTAGAAACTTTTTATTTATATAATTTTTAAAAAAATATTCTCTATTAATCTTCAAATTTTAAAAAGTTATTTTTATTTATTAAATTATTTTAACTAGTCAGACACGTGTCGAATGCTAATATGCCAAATGGCAAATGACGTGGCAACAAAGGGATCGGTCAAAAGTCTGAAAAAACGGTTACCCCCCAAAGCTCTCAGACCAAACGCCACGATCCCGATTCTGCCCAATCACTTCTCACGTGCTACTCACGTGCTAATAAAACCAAACCGGACCGGAACCGAACTGAACCCGTGGCAGCTACTCCAGTTATTGGATAGTACTAAGCGACGAGTTGAATATAGATGCCGGGTTTTTGAACGATTAAATCGGCGATCCAAAAAAGAAGCCTCCTCCTCCCTTCTTGTTGTTGTTCTTGTTCCTCCATTTCCTTTTTGCTACTCGTCTCGAATAAATCCCAATCCAATCGCTACAAATCGGAGACCCAAATTTCTAAAATTAAAATCAAAATCAAAATCAAAATAATTCCGTTTTCAATTTCAGTTTCCGATCATAATCTTGCATGACGGATTACCGATTTTCCACCATGAATCTCTGGACCGACGAGAACGCGTCGGCCATGGATGCTTTCACGAACTCCGATCTGTCTTCTTACTGGGCTCCGTCGGCGGCGTCGTCTCAATCTCTCCATCACCCACCTCCGACGCAATCCTCCGCCTCCACCACTACTCCACCGTCCGTCCCTTCCAAGTCTATCGCTGTCTTGAACCAGGAGACTCTGCAGCAGCGCCTCCAGGCGCTCATCGACGGTGCTAGAGAGAGTTGGACGTACGCGATTTTCTGGCAGTCGTCGTATGATTATTCCGGCGGGTCGGTTTTAGGGTGGGGAGATGGGTATTACAAAGGCGAGGAGAATAAAGGGAGAGGAAAAACGAAAATGGTTTCCTCTGCGGCGGAGCAGGCTCACCGGAAGAAGGTGCTCCGGGAGCTTAACTCGTTGATTTCCGGCTCCGCTACCGGACTGGACGATGTGGTGGATGAAGAGGTTACCGACACCGAATGGTTCTTTTTGGTTTCGATGACTCAGTCGTTTGTTAATGGAGTTGGGTTACCGAGTCAGGCGCTTTTAAGCTCCCGGCCGATTTGGATATCCGGCGCCGACCGGCTGTCGGCGTCGGGATGTGATCGCGCTAGACAGGGGAGGATCTTCGGGTTGCAGACGATGGTGTGTATTCCATTACCAAACGGCGTCGTCGAAATGGGTTCGACGGAAGCGATTTACATAACGACGGATTTGATGAACAAGGTCAAGACTCTGTTTAATTTCAACAATCTCGAAACGGGTTCTTGGCAATCGGGAACCACCGGCGTCACTGTCGCCGACGAAGGGGAAAACGACCCATCGTCGTTATGGATCAGTGAGCCGTCGAACACCATTGAAATGAAGGATTCGATTACCACCACCGTACTTTCCGGCGGCGCGTCGGCTAAGCCAATCCATTCAGAAAATCCCAGTTCGAGCAGCTTAACGGAAAATGCCAGCAGGAAACAGACCCCAAGCTTGAATTTCCCCGATTACGCCGCCGCGGCCGCCCCCACGAACCCATCATTCAAGTCGGAATCCGGTGGGATGCTGAGCTTCGGCAACAAAAGTCTCTTCTCCGGTAACTCACAGAATGAGACAAAGAAATCTCCGACTAGTCGGAGAAGCACCGACGAAGGGATACTCTGTTTCACCACCGACGCGATCTTACCCTTTTTCGGGAAGGTAAAATCCGGCGACTCTGACCACTCAGATCCAGAAGCTTCAGCGATTCCAGAAGTGGATAGTTGTATAAAACCATCAGAACCCGAAAAACGACCGAGAAAACGCGGCAGAAAACCGGCGAACGGAAGAGAAGAGCCATTGAATCACGTGGAAGCAGAGAGACAACGCCGGGAAAAACTTAACCAGAAATTCTACGCTCTCCGAGCAGTAGTACCAAACGTATCAAAAATGGACAAAGCCTCATTGCTCGGCGACGCCGTCTCCTACATTAATGAACTGAAATTGAAGCTCGAAATGGCAGAATCAAAGAAGACGGAGATCGAAAAACAGCTAGAATTCATGAAAAAAAACGGCGGAACAGGACGGAAAGACACCGGAAACTACACGAATACAGTAAATGAAGATCTGAAAATGGAGATTCAGGTGAAAATCATGGGGTCGGACGCGATGATCCGAGTTGAATGTAGTAAAAAGAATCATCCGGCGGCGAGATTGATGGCGGCGTTGAAGGATTTGGATTTGGAAATGATTCACGCGAGTGTTTCTGTAGTGAATGATTTGATGATTCAACAGGCAGCGGTGAAGATGGAGAGCAGAGTATATACGACGGAGCAGCTGAAAATGGTGCTGATGGCGGAAGTTCGACGGTGCCGGCGTTGAATGTTGTAGAGAAGAGAAGGGGATGTGTAATTACAACATTATTTTTTTAGGGTCCAAAAATAGAGAGATTTAGAGAAGAGGTCTAGGGGATTGTGATAAGTGAGATAGATATCTATTAGGTGGTTGTATGTTGCAACTATCCTCCTTTCGTATATGCTTTTTAGGTATTGTTATAACAATAATGTATTCCCGATCATCATCGTTTATGTGTTTATGCTCGATTCTCATTGCCATATCCTTCTAAAATCTGTTGCACGTTTTTTAGATGTTGCAAGGGGGTAGCCTTGGGCTGTTGCAAATGACATTAAAGCTACACCCTGGGTGATGTTGTAGAGGTCACACATGTTGTGATGTGCCAGTGAGACGCTTGGAGGTGGGCTCGAAAGGAGTGGGCTGTGACATATCAGTTTGAGAGGCAGCCTCAAAGGGTGGATAGTGAGATCCCACGTTGATTGGAGATTGGAGAGGCGGCCTCCAAAGAGGTGGACGGACTATGAGATCTCACATCTGAGGTGGATGGATTGTGACTGTGAGATCCCACGTCTGGGGTGGATGGGGGTGTAGACGGACTATGAGATCCCACGTCTGGGGTGAACGGACTGTGAGATCCTAGTCGATTGGAATTGAGAATGAAACATTCCTGGGTGTGGAGTAATATGCAATGAAGCGAAGCGGACAATAAATTCGTGTCACCTTGGACCGACATATACCCATATGTATTGATGCATTTGAAATCTATGGGCTGAGAGACATTATTTTACCAAAAATGTGAATAGCCAAATCTATGCCAAAATTATTCATGTATCTTATTTAGCTGACAGTTTTAGAGGGTCGGCATTCAATTCAGCTAGATTTTTATTTTGGCCATTTATTTATTAATTATTTTCATTTTAAAAGCAATTAAATACATTAATATTTATATACTTGTAGGTTAAAGTATTATTTTGTTTATTTAAATTATTGAAATTAGATTATAAAAGTTTGGTTTTATTTTTTTCCATGTCCCATTAATTTCATGTGAAATTATTATTATCCTTTTGTTAAAAATATTTAATAACTCCGTATAACGAGATTAGATTGAGTTGAGTTGAATTTTTTTTTAAACCAACTTGAAAATTTGGTTCGTGTTAGGCAGTTGAATTTTTTTATTATTATTATTTTAAAAATCATACTTATCCACAATACAGTAAAATTAATAACGAAAATCTTATAAAATTCAAATATGAAATATTCACAAGTCAAAACGCATCACTAAATTTTATGGCTTGGATTAGATAATCGGGATTTGTAGGGTTATCAGTGTTGGATGATGAAAGTCCCACCTCGGTTAATTTAGGGAATCATCATGAGTTTATAAACAAAGAATACTCTCCTTATTAATGCGAGGCCTCTTAGGGAGGCTCAAAGCAAAGTCATGAGAGCTTATACTCAAAGTGGACAATATTATATTATTGTGGAGAGTCGTGTTCATCTAACATGGTATCAGAGTCATGCCCTAAACTTAGTCGTGCCAATAGATTGGTAAATCCTCAAATGACGAACAAAGGATTCAAAAAGAAAAGGAGTCAAGCCTCCTCGAAGACAGTAAAAAATGACTAGGACTCCATAGGAGTCGAGTCTCGATTAAGGGGACAATATTATACCATTGTAGAGAGTCGTGTTCATCTAACATGATATCAAATCCATGCTCTAAACTTAATCGTGCCAATAGATTGGGTCGAACGAAGGACTCCAAGGAGGTAGTTTAATTTTTGTATTTAATAAGTTACCAAAATTTAAAAATATTTAATACCCAAAGTCTCTAATCTCTCAAAATTAGAATAGGGAGCCTTATCCATTTAAAAACCCTAAAATTGGGAGGAAGAAGGCTAAAATTAGAGGCTGGTTAAGCTGTAATTACGGATTTCGTGAAATTCCCAATTTAAAACCCTAAATTCGGCTCTTTCAACCGAATCCCCAATTCCAAAACCCTCTCCTCTCCGTCGTCTTGTTCTTCCTCTGAATCTGTAATCATGAGTCTGAATTGCCTCTCCTGTCAACTCTTCTTGCAGAGATCGGACTCCGACAAAGACCTCGAGCAGCATGAATACTTCACCGATCAGGCCAAGTCGCCGGACAGAAGCTGGTCGGGAAACCTGTCGTTTCGCCCTCCCACTCGCCAAAACAGCGACGGGTTTCGGGTCCGGACGGAGAATAAGGTGGCGCCGATGGGCCACCGCCGTCTTCACAGCACTGGCGCCGTAGCTTTCGGCGGCCCTGGTAAGGAGCCGAGGCTGATTAGAAGCGCGGGGATGAGGAGGGATTGGAGCTTTGAGGATCTTCGAGCCATCCGAGAGGATAAGGAATCATCTCCCAATTCCTAAACCCTAAAATTATTCTCTCTCTCTCTCTCTCTCTCTCTCTCTCGCTTTTTAAATATATTTTTTTAATTTGAAATTTGTTTAGGAGTGGGATGATTTGAACTTATGATGAAAATATTTTTATTTATTTATTTACATTTTATCACTAAATTTTATTTGAATTTCAACTCATAACTATAAATGTATCAGTTAATTATAAATAATTTTATTTGGATCAAAATTAAAAAAAAAAAAAAACTATTTTAAAATACAAACTAGATAGTATTAGATCTTTCTCGCCTTCCCTTAAATATTCACCTACACGTTCAACACTATTTAGACACAATTCCTCTTCTTTGAAGTATCACAATCTTCACCACGGTTCGGTTGGCGCGGCTGAGGCACGGGTTCTATCGACATGCTCTTGGATGTAAGAAGTCCATAATCAAGCAATACTATCTTTATTGGTATGATGCCTTTGGGGGAGTCCAAAACAAAGTCACGAGAGCTCATGTTCAAAATGGACAACAATATCATACCATTGTGGTTGGACAATATCAGACAAAGCTTATGAGTTTATGCTCAAAATGGACAATATTAGAGAGAGCTTATGAGCTTATTATGAACTTATGCTCAAAATGGACAATACCAATACCAGACAGAGCTTATGCTCAAAATGGACAATACCAGACAGAGCTTATGCTCAAAATGGACAATACCAGACAGAGCTTATGCTCAAAAT